ATACTAGTAACACCCTGGAAACCAACCATATCACCCTAACAACTGCTTAGAAATCCTAGTAAGAATATCAAAGCATCCATCAACAACACCCAAGCAACTCCCTAACAACCGTGCAGAACACACTAACAGCCACTCAGAACAACTCAGCAGCTGCATAGCAACACCCTGGCAACCAACCAAAGCACTTTAGAATCGAGCTGGGGAGTTTTGCACAGGCAAATGGCAATCACAATATCTTCAAAAAAAAAAAAAGGTAGTGTACTTATTAAAAGGCTATAACAGCTGAATCTGAAAAGGCCCGAAAACCCGCAAGGACTCATTCCAACAGCAGCATGATGACACCTGCAGAAGTCAACATGACTACAAGCGAGTCCTGGCGCTCAGTCACCGAACAACGCGTCCTATTCAGGAATGAATTTGTCATTCTACATGATGTCCCAAAGGTAACGGCACGTACGCGTTCAAACACCGCGCTGGCCTCCTCTTGACAGATGTTGCGCGGTAAAGTCTGCATAGCGTCTAAAAGCCACAACAGCGTGAAAGAGGAAAGCCAGATGCTACAACCGTACACGGCGACGGCAAAACACAGCGGCGGCCAAGGATGGGAAAATTTGCCAACAACGCCAAAAAATCCTGGGTGTCCCCACTGTAAACCCAACACGCCAGCAAGCACATGGGCGTCGTCTCGCGACGGGACACCGTGTTCCACCCGCGTGCACGAGATGCCAAAACGAACGCCGTTCATCATTTCCAAAAGAATTTGCGAATTTCTGCTAAGTGGCTTGTTAAGGAGCTGACAGCGATCCTCCAAAGGAAGCACATGCAACAGCTTTCCAGTGATTTAGACTCATTCGGGGGCAGTAAAACTTCATCTAGAACACATGCTCCAGCAGTAAACAGCACTCCAACAAGAAGCGACTTGGAACACAACTGAAGCGGTGAACTTTGACCCAAACGCAAGAAAAGCACCGCATGGCGATCGGTCAAGTTCGCGCCATATGCGTCCAATGTGTGTCGTGGAATCTGAACATTCATTTTCATGAAACGCAAGAGAGACATTCTTGGCTTTATCGTCTGCGTCACGCCCACCGCTCGGCACATCTGTCGCTGATGGACCCTGGCGAGCCGCGAGTATCTGGCCCGTCGCTAACCATGTGCAGCTACTCAACATCTGCTTCTGATATTGTGTACTTGCTACATTCTTGAAACTGATTTCTCTCCCGCATTTGTCCTGCTTCTGTCGGTCGTACCAGTGCATTAAGGAGATTCAGTTTAATTTCATTTAATTCGCCGAAATACAGATCATCACATATTGTACATCTGCTATAGGGCTCGACATACGTTTTCACTCAATTAAAACAGTTCTGGTGCACACTGCTGCTTATTTTGGTCACAAAAGCCTACAAAGAAGAGAACATCTGATTAACATGTAAAGCAACCAATCACAGTTTGTGGTGTGCAGTGTTTAAGTTGACAAAATGCTAAATTATCCCTATCTATATTCTAAATCCACTTTATTGCTCTTATTTTGAAAGATTTATCCATGCATATATAGGCCTATATATCTTTTTTTTTACAAATTTGACCTTGTAACTTTTTATTAAAATATTACGACTTCATGAATATCATAACTTTATCTTTCAGTGAAATGATGACATCCCGGACTTCTCCAATCATTTTGTTTGCCTAAACCTTTCGTAAAATCAACTGCAAGCTCGGATTCAGATCTGCATCCATCCAATTAGCAACCGATGGATGGAAGCAAGACCCCACGCTTTTGTATTTGTTGATAAAATGACGTGACAGTATGGAAGAACAGCTCTGTCGCTTCTATCCGTTACGTTTGGACTTTAAATAAAGACGCAAAGTACAGAAAACCCAAAAGCTCAGAGAAATAACTGCCTCAAATAAAACACTTGATGCCGTTTAAATGCCAAACATTGTTCTTAGTTCTTGCTCAATAGTTCTTGCTTTATTAACCCAGTACAACGACTTCGTTTCCAAATGGATCAATTAAAAAAAATGGTACTTCGCTCCAGGAAGCTGACAGCCAATCAGATTGCCAGATCAAAAAAAGTCTGAAAGCTCGTCACTTCTCCCAAAACAGCTACATTAAATAATTATAAAAATGGGACACGGCATCAGAAATATGAAGTCAACGATATAGTGATTCATAATTTCTGCATGATTCGTACATCATGACCCTGACATGTGGAAACAGAAGGTTTTTCCAGCCGGATTAACGTTTCTCTGATTATTCTCTGAAAGGCTAAAAGTTACTAATGATTATAATACAGGCAGTTTGTACTAGGGTTGTTAATGATTCATTAATCACTGATTAATTGTTGTTAATCATTTAACTGATCAAGAGCAGTAATAAAGCAAGCAAACAACAAATAATTAAACTAAACCAAATATCGTGCAGCAGCGGTTCATGGTCAAATTCCATTTTAATGCTTCAAACTCAAGGAATCACCATCAGTATCCACACAGCTTATAAATATTGCTAAATATAATGCCAATAAATACAGCTCACATTGACAATACTGATAAAATCAACAGAACACTTCTAATTTACCAATGTTTTATCAACATTCTGATACTTTTGACATTCTTAATTAGTTCATATGTTGACTACAGCCACTCACAAGCAGCCTGGCAACTATTTCAGCCAATCACTGCGCTCCTGGAACTCACTCGACCAATCACAAGCAATCAGCCAACCACCCTCGCTCGCTACAGCCAATCACAAGCACCCCAGCAACTCCGCCAGCCAATCACCAGCACCCACTCGGCCTCCATATATGGAATGCGGTGATGTCACGAAGGGAGGCATGTTCTGTTAACCACCTTCTCCTCTTCCATGACATTAATTACGCTTATTAAACGAGAACAGAGAGCAATTATGAACGGTCCAGGATCCCGCAGTCTGACAGACTGTTCTGCCAGCTCTCTGCCGTCACACTGAAAACACAAATTAAATAACAGCATCCCATTGAGCAGCGGACCAAAGCACAAACCCTCAACATCACTGTACTGACTGCACTTACCAAGAGCGCCACCATGTGGCTCAATGCAGAACTACAGACAACTGGGATGAAAACAGCATGTTTTTAGCATAAATGCACCGGTGCCGGATTCACGAAATACTCACACAAAGAATACAATTCTTTATTCTTGAATAAAAATATAAAATATAAATAAATAAAATAAAAATAAAACAAAAGTACTCTCATTTTCGAACTTAAAATATTTTTTCCTAAAAAAAAAATTCTTAAAAATATCCATACAATCAGATATCAACAAAGTCATTTTCTTCTTAATTAATATTATTAAATATTGCATACCTATATACCTATATATATATATATTTAAAATGCTACATGATGACGCACACACTGAACTTTAGATATTAAATAATAGTTATAGTATTAATTTGATGTTGTTACATTAATATTACATTTTATAATATAAAAAAATAATATATAGACATTAAATAGATATTACATTATTTTTAAACCAAATTAATATTATTATACAATTTTCATTTTAAATTATTGTAATTTTCTTAAGAAAAATATGTTCTTAAGAGAAAAAATACGACATACACACTGAACTTTAATAATCAGATATTAAATAGTAGATAATTATATATAGGTATATATTAAATCAATGTTAATTAATATTAAAATATTATTTGTATTAGTGATATTATTATTATTAAAATTATATTAACATTTTTCTTATCTACTTAAGAAAAAAAAAAAGATGTTCTTAACGCTTTCCTTGTGTGTTTCCATGTTTTCACTCCTGAATGAGTCCAGAATCACTTGATCAAAAACACAGGCAAGGAAGACGCAGAACTGAGCGATCTCATATGCAAGTAGATGCATATGAAAAATAATGCGATCATCAACAATAAAGAAAAAATACGACATACACACTGAACTTTAATAATCAGATATTAAATAGTAGATAATTATATATAGGTATATATTAAATCAATGTTAATTAATATTAAAATATTATTTGTATTATTGATATTATTATTATTAAAATTATATTAAAATTTTTCTTATCTACTTAAGAAAAAAAAAAGATGTTCTTAACGCTTTCCTTGTGTGTTTCCATGTTTTCACTCCTGAATGAGTCCAGAATCACTTGATCAAAAACACAGGCAAGGAAGACGCAGAACTGAGCGATCTCATATGCAAGTAGATGCATATGAAAAATAATGCGATCATCAACAATAAACCGCATATAAATGAAAACTGCCTAATGTTACTGAGTGAAACAGTGACCCTGGAAGTGCTAAAGGCTTTGCTTTGATCATCGAACTGAATATGATCCAGATTTAGTCTTTTCTCAGCGTTTTTGATCAAAGTGTTGCTTTTTTTTTAATATAACTCACCTTCATTTAAGTGTTGAGAAAAAAAGAATGCTTGAAGCTAGAACGAAACATGCGACATGCTCTGTCGCATGTTCAGATATTTCCATAAAACGAAATATTCAGGGGGCCATGAAATTTTAGTGAAAATGATCAAAAACGCTGGCGGGGAAAGAGTTAAAAGAGAATGTTTGAGAACTTAAGAATTGCACTTTATGAATTTAGCTTTGATCATCGAACTGAATATGATCCAGATTTAGTCTTTTCTCAGCGTTTTTGATCAAAGTGTTGCTTTTTTTTTAATATAACTCACCTTCATTTAAGTGTTGAGAAAAAAAGAATGCTTGAAGCTAGAACGAAATATTCAGGGGGCCATGAAATTTTAGTGAAAATGATCAAAAACGCTGGCGGGGAAAGAGTTAAAAGAGAATATTTGAGAACTTAAGAATTGGTCAAGAATTGCACTATTTTTATGAATTTATCTTGAAAAAAAAAATAAAAATGTACGATTTTCTTGAATTCGACCCCAGTTTAATGTGGTGCAGATATCGGGACTCTTTCCTGTCGAATCGATGAAACCGAAAGACAAATATTCATAAACCCATAGACTTAC